AGGGGTATGGAGTCCAATGAATGTTCAGCCTTTACAGCTTACATTTTGTTAATTGTCAAATTTTACCTCTCTGTATGTTGATCAAAAATATTGTATAAATACTCAAAGCCTACAATAGGTGCAGTTGACATTTGATGCTGTAAACCTGGTCAATCTTTCTGTGCATGTTTTTAGGTGCTCTCGTTATTGTCATAAATTTGTTATGTGCGATAGAATGCTGTTTGCTGCATTATTATCTATCAAAGTTAGTGTTTAAATGAAAATCACAGCTTTACAACATAGAATGTGTTTTGAGAATCATTCACTGAGTTGTTAATAAAGCCTTTGAAGAGATTTAATTGAAGAGGCAATTATACTGTACTACTTAATATTGTTCTGATTACTGTTTTTTTGTAAATAGGGCAAGATGATAATGCAGGACAAATTGGAGAAGGAAAGAAATGATGCAAAGAATGCAGTTGAAGAATATGTTTATGATTTTAGAAACAAGCTGTCTGGACCCTATGAAAAATTTGTGTGTGAGGAGGTAGTTGTTTTATTTATTTAAAATTATTTATTTAAAATATATCATCTAGAAAGTCAGTTTAGGATATTTACAGTGCAAAAATTAAAAATAACCACTCATTGATAGCACAATCATTTCATGTGCTGGGTAGGAATTCTCTGGGTAGAAGTGCAACATACTATAAGGTATCTGATTGAAAAAGGGTAGTTCATTTAATCTTCATTTAAAGACATTTACACTGGCTTTAGTTTTTATCATCACATCTTTCAGTGGCAAATTCTTAAATTTGCATTTAAGATTCCATTGTTTACTTCTATTCAGAATATGTACCACCTTTCTGCTTGTTTACTCATTTTCTTCCTCAAATGCATTGATTGTGATTACTATTTTATATATGATTAAGAGCAATTTTGTATTATGAATGCAACTAATCAACTATTAGCTGGTGGGCAGCGATGATAAATAAATAAACTTGTTATTCTTGTTTAGGATCGCAAGAACTTTTCTATGCTGCTGTCAGAAATAGAAGATTGGCTATATGAAGAAGGAGAAGACCAAGCTAAACAAGTCTACATGGATAAATTGACTGAGTTAAAGGTATAGCTAACTTTCATTTTATATGTTGCGATTTTAAAAGTGTTACTGATTGCTGAAATGACCTGTTACTGTTCTGATCTCTTTTAGAAATTTGGGACTCCCATTGAAATCAGATATCAAGAAGCAGAAGAGCGGCCAAAGCTGCTAGAGGAGCTGGGGCATAAGCTTCGCATATATGCTGGGATTACAGAGGAATATAAGAACAAAGTACATAATTGTAGTTATAATACACACTTGAACTGTGAAGTGGTCTGAATTCTTTTTGTACAATGTATTCTGATCAGTGGGGCATGGCATTACTTAACCATTGATAATTTTTTTACAGTTTACAGTTATATAGACCCCACTGCTACCAAAACAATAAGTTGTAAGAAATCCCAGATTTCAGAGAATTATCCTGAAATACCATGGTTATCATTCTGGTGCGAGACAGTGGGGCTTTTTCAATAGGTGGACACAAAATAGAAAATCGAGTTTTAATAATTAGGCTGAACTGTTCTAATTAGCTCACCGTTCGGCTAAAATGAAACCTGGAACTTTTGATTGTTGCAGGTTTGTCCAAGACAAATTCCAGAAGAATGTTGTGAGGATTGTTGTTCATTGGTCTCCAGATCCAAACCTGCCTGTTTTGATCTGTGTACAGATAACTTAAACCTGGCAAATAGCTCATCCATGAGCTATTTGGACTATCCCTAAAAGTCACTCATAATGTGAAGTGCCAGCCAAGCAAATCTGATTCCTAATCTAAACCTTTCTGGCTTGGTGGACCAGCAAAAGGGGGTGGTTTGAGGAAAGGATGGTTCTGTGTGAGTGGCACAAGTCCATGAAACTTCACACATGAACACGCATGAGAGCCTGCCACTTGCACAGATGGAGCTACATGTGCACAATGTTCTCCCATCATTTGCAGAGTCTGGTTCCTGGCCCAGGGGCTGGGGACCCCTAATCTAAAGTATAACAATCTAATGACTCAGTAAGCTGCAGTTCTAAAAAATAATCTCAACAATTTAGAGATTGCTTACCTCACTTAAGCAGTGAGCCAACATAATAAGCAATCATTTCTTATATAAAAAGTCAGAAATTTGGATGTATGGAAGTGTGGCCTTATAATAAGTGGCTTTGATTAGACTGAGTGGAAGGAACAGTAAAAATATACATGATTAACTTACATTTTGAGTTTAAATTAATTATGATTATTTATATTTTATAGTCACCCATGCCCTGGTCACCTCCCATTTGGGTTATTGTAATTTACTCTACATGGATCTGCCTTTGAAGAGCATCCAGATGCTTCAGTTGGCTCAAAATGAAGCAGCCACATAGTGAAAGCTGCACTGGTTGCCAATTTGCTTCTGGGTACAATTCAAGGTACTGGCTATCATTTTAAAAAGCCTAAATGGCTTGTGAACTGGTTATTTGATGGACCATCTATCCCAGAGCTGGGGTTTTGCCATTTCGGCCCGGATCTGGCGAACCGGTAGTGGCAGCAGCAGGGGGCTCTGCCCACCCGCCTGGACACTTCTGTGCAGGCGCAGAAGTGTCGCGCACAAGCAAACGTAGTAAAAAAGAAATGGAAACTCACCATTGATCTCTCCCCAATACCTGGCCCAACAAAGCAGAAGGCCGGACATATTGCAGGTCCCAACTATCAAAGAAGTACATATGGAGTGATCTCAAAAAAGCTTCCTGCCATTGGAACATCATTCTTTAAGGGATAAGATTGGCGCCGACCTTATTTTTCCACAATGCCTTGAAGACATGGTTTTGTCAGTGGATTTGGGAGCCTCGGAGCTGATCAAGTGACTTATCTGATTACTGTTATGGGGTATGATGGGGGATAGCCTGGAGTTACTGTATGTGAGTTGGGGGGCTATATACATTTGTTTAATAAATAAATATTATTTGCAAATAAAATAGCCCTTAATTGGTGAACAAGAATATTAGTGCTGATACTGAAAAACTTGAGGTAGCCTTGGAAAAAATGCTTATAGCAATAACTAACATACTGCATTTTGTTTCAGGATGAGAAATATATTCATATTGATGAAAGTGAAATGAATAAAGTAGAAAAGTGTATCAATGACACAACAGAATGGCTAAACAACATTATAAATATCCAAGCTAAACAAAATCTTGATCAGGATCCTGCTGTGCGTGTAAATGAAATCAGAAGAAAACTGAGGGTATGTTTTAATTATGATGCAGATCTACATGCCAAAGAAAAAGATAAATTCCTTGAAATCACATAATGTTTCTTATGATCCATTTTTCTGGTCACGTCTAATTTAAATCTGGTCTGAATAAAAAAAGGACAGAGCATAACAAAATGTAATGGTATTAGAATAAAATTAAATAGTTGCACTCTCTCTCTTTATTTCTTATATGACTTATGCCAAAATGAGGTGGGTAAATTGAGCAAGATAAAAATGAGTGATGTCTGGTATTATTATTTGTTTATTTAATGTCTACAAGTATGTATTGTAATTTCTTCAGTTATTGAGAATCAGTAGGGCTCCTGCATTTCTTAGTAAACATACTTGTCCTGCAAAATAATTTTAGCTTTACTTTCAGTCATCACATCTAACTCAAGCCTAAATAAAAGAAAAATGTTTGCTTTTTGGACTCACACGGGGAGTTGCATTGTGTCACTCTTGTAATGTTTCTCTCTTGTAGGAAATACATGGTTTATGTGACCCCATTGTTAACCAACCAAAGCCACAAATAGATTCTCCTAAACAGGAAGCGCCACCAGATGCATCTTTGATCAACAAAACTGAAGAATTAGAAGAAGAAATCAAAAACATTGAGACCACGCAACAGAATGGTGATTGCCATATGAATGAAAGCCCAGTTAGCATGGACTTGGACTAGCTTATTGCATTTCAGCGGGAAATTTCATTGTGGTAACATGTATTATGTGATATTAGGGAACATATGTTTGGGGAGTTATTTATATTTTGGAATTCTGTTGTATTATGTGGAGAATGAATATATTTACAAGCTAGAAGTTGAAATCATGATCATTTTAAAAGGAAAATTGCCTTGGTAACTTTCAGATTCCTGTGGAATTGTGAACACTGACTAAAATCTTCTGTGCAGGAATTTAACCCTTTGTATCAATTAAGGCTAAAGTATCTTGAAATTGTTGCAAAAGGCACAGCTCCTTTGAAATGAGTGCACTTAGACCTTTTGTAGATGCCAAGGTAGTTTTTCTTTTTGTTTCCAATTTTGTTATGTTTCTTCCATTGAAAAGGCATTCGGTCAAAAAACAAAATGAAAGCCAAGCTTTAAAAAGTTATTTCTATCATTGTCGGAAACATTTGCTTAGAAGATGAGGACAAGTATGTGAAGCAGCATGCACAATTGCTTACATTTCACTTTCGTGTGTGGAAAACCAAATGAAGGTATAATACATGGGTTTTGTTGTTGGTTCCTGTGATGCCTTTAGTGAGCTTTAATAAAGTTCATGAAAATGGTTACAATTCTTAAAACATTGCCTTTGTTTGTTTGTCCTACTCAGTTTCATACCTTTGCCTTGGAAGCCAACAGTTAGTAGGACAGTTAGTAGTGAGACTTAAATTCAATCAAAATTGAGTATTTCTTTGCTAAACTGATTCCATCAATAGACATGCAACAAACTCTAGCACAAGCTTTGATCTCAGTTTCTGGCCTCTCTGACAAGACTGTCCTCATCTTCACATTGAGAGTTTGCTACATAGTGAGAGGGGAAGTATACAAGCAGCACCCATTCTGTTCTTATGATCCAACTAGCTGGATACCTGTACTTCGCTATGAAACCACTGGATGAGTCACGTACTGGCCACACCCATATAAGGAAACTGGCAGTTGGAACAGAATTCCTTTCATNTAAGCAGTGAGCCAACATAATAAGCAATCATTTCTTATATAAAAAGTCAGAAATTTGGATGTATGGAAGTGTGGCCTTATAATAAGTGGCTTTGATTAGACTGAGTGGAAGGAACAGTAAAAATATACATGATTAACTTACATTTTGAGTTTAAATTAATTATGATTATTTATATTTTATAGTCACCCATGCCCTGGTCACCTCCCATTTGGGTTATTGTAATTTACTCTACATGGATCTGCCTTTGAAGAGCATCCAGATGCTTCAGTTGGCTCAAAATGAAGCAGCCACATAGTGAAAGCTGCACTGGTTGCCAATTTGCTTCTGGGTACAATTCAAGGTACTGGCTATCATTTTAAAAAGCCTAAATGGCTTGTGAACTGGTTATTTGATGGACCATCTATCCCAGAGCTGGGGTTTTGCCATTTCGGCCCGGATCTGGCGAACCGGTAGTGGCAGCAGCAGGGGGCTCTGCCCACCCGCCTGGACACTTCTGTGCAGGCGCAGAAGTGTCGCGCACAAGCAAACGTAGTAAAAAAGAAATGGAAACTCACCATTGATCTCTCCCCAATACCTGGCCCAACAAAGCAGAAGGCCGGACATATTGCAGGTCCCAACTATCAAAGAAGTACATATGGAGTGATCTCAAAAAAGCTTCCTGCCATTGGAACATCATTCTTTAAGGGATAAGATTGGCGCCGACCTTATTTTTCCACAATGCCTTGAAGACATGGTTTTGTCAGTGGATTTGGGAGCCTCGGAGCTGATCAAGTGACTTATCTGATTACTGTTATGGGGTATGATGGGGGATAGCCTGGAGTTACTGTATGTGAGTTGGGGGGCTATATACATTTGTTTAATAAATAAATATTATTTGCAAATAAAATAGCCCTTAATTGGTGAACAAGAATATTAGTGCTGATACTGAAAAACTTGAGGTAGCCTTGGAAAAAATGCTTATAGCAATAACTAACATACTGCATTTTGTTTCAGGATGAGAAATATATTCATATTGATGAAAGTGAAATGAATAAAGTAGAAAAGTGTATCAATGACACAACAGAATGGCTAAACAACATTATAAATATCCAAGCTAAACAAAATCTTGATCAGGATCCTGCTGTGCGTGTAAATGAAATCAGAAGAAAACTGAGGGTATGTTTTAATTATGATGCAGATCTACATGCCAAAGAAAAAGATAAATTCCTTGAAATCACATAATGTTTCTTATGATCCATTTTTCTGGTCACGTCTAATTTAAATCTGGTCTGAATAAAAAAAGGACAGAGCATAACAAAATGTAATGGTATTAGAATAAAATTAAATAGTTGCACTCTCTCTCTTTATTTCTTATATGACTTATGCCAAAATGAGGTGGGTAAATTGAGCAAGATAAAAATGAGTGATGTCTGGTATTATTATTTGTTTATTTAATGTCTACAAGTATGTATTGTAATTTCTTCAGTTATTGAGAATCAGTAGGGCTCCTGCATTTCTTAGTAAACATACTTGTCCTGCAAAATAATTTTAGCTTTACTTTCAGTCATCACATCTAACTCAAGCCTAAATAAAAGAAAAATGTTTGCTTTTTGGACTCACACGGGGAGTTGCATTGTGTCACTCTTGTAATGTTTCTCTCTTGTAGGAAATACATGGTTTATGTGACCCCATTGTTAACCAACCAAAGCCACAAATAGATTCTCCTAAACAGGAAGCGCCACCAGATGCATCTTTGATCAACAAAACTGAAGAATTAGAAGAAGAAATCAAAAACATTGAGACCACGCAACAGAATGGTGATTGCCATATGAATGAAAGCCCAGTTAGCATGGACTTGGACTAGCTTATTGCATTTCAGCGGGAAATTTCATTGTGGTAACATGTATTATGTGATATTAGGGAACATATGTTTGGGGAGTTATTTATATTTTGGAATTCTGTTGTATTATGTGGAGAATGAATATATTTACAAGCTAGAAGTTGAAATCATGATCATTTTAAAAGGAAAATTGCCTTGGTAACTTTCAGATTCCTGTGGAATTGTGAACACTGACTAAAATCTTCTGTGCAGGAATTTAACCCTTTGTATCAATTAAGGCTAAAGTATCTTGAAATTGTTGCAAAAGGCACAGCTCCTTTGAAATGAGTGCACTTAGACCTTTTGTAGATGCCAAGGTAGTTTTTCTTTTTGTTTCCAATTTTGTTATGTTTCTTCCATTGAAAAGGCATTCGGTCAAAAAACAAAATGAAAGCCAAGCTTTAAAAAGTTATTTCTATCATTGTCGGAAACATTTGCTTAGAAGATGAGGACAAGTATGTGAAGCAGCATGCACAATTGCTTACATTTCACTTTCGTGTGTGGAAAACCAAATGAAGGTATAATACATGGGTTTTGTTGTTGGTTCCTGTGATGCCTTTAGTGAGCTTTAATAAAGTTCATGAAAATGGTTACAATTCTTAAAACATTGCCTTTGTTTGTTTGTCCTACTCAGTTTCATACCTTTGCCTTGGAAGCCAACAGTTAGTAGGACAGTTAGTAGTGAGACTTAAATTCAATCAAAATTGAGTATTTCTTTGCTAAACTGATTCCATCAATAGACATGCAACAAACTCTAGCACAAGCTTTGATCTCAGTTTCTGGCCTCTCTGACAAGACTGTCCTCATCTTCACATTGAGAGTTTGCTACATAGTGAGAGGGGAAGTATACAAGCAGCACCCATTCTGTTCTTATGATCCAACTAGCTGGATACCTGTACTTCGCTATGAAACCACTGGATGAGTCACGTACTGGCCACACCCATATAAGGAAACTGGCAGTTGGAACAGAATTCCTTTCATATGGAGAGGGGGAGTAGAACAACTAACTCCTTAGCATCGACACAGTATTATATTATACTGTATAAGGGATGCTGATGATCTGATGGTCATTTCAAAAAATCCTTTCTTAGCAAGCACTAGAAGCCAAGAGGAACATACGTGCTTATGGTATATATATATATATATATATATATATATATATATATATA